GCCATTTCCCTCCATTTTCCCGTTATTCTGGCTCAAAAACACTAAAATTCACAAATTGTTCGAGGATGTCCCATTTCACCCCTCAAGAAACTTGAGCAGTACTAATGATGGGCCTTAACATAGTTGCTTGGCAGCAGGATTTCGACTGTGTGTTTCTCCTTACCACGTTGTTCTCACTTCAGTGCCACACAGCCATGTCTGCCTATCTCGGTTGCATCCAGGTGGCAGAGAAGTGGAGGAGAAATAGCGTATTCACGTAATTGACATCTTTAAGTAAAAACAGTGACAGCTACATACGAAAGATTTAGATGGTAGACGGCTAATGCCACTAATGTAGACAGGCCATGTGGCGAATGGGCAATGACGGAACTCCTCGGTAGTCTGTTAGCAATCCTGAGAGTTGAACAACCAATTAACTTATTGCACGCACATCCGTTGATTATTCTATGCACTAACTGACCTACAAATCATCTCCGACGCAGACCAACATATCAACACGGATGGACCACAACATGCGTCATAGGCAGAAGGCTCCCTCCATAGGCTGCTCGTGGTCGCCTTCCCACATTGCACACCTACCAGTTCGTGATTGATCTCGTCCTACTACAAGGTAGCCAGAACTGACTTTTAGGCTGTAAACTATGCGAATCGACATTGCTGCCCGAGTGTATCAGCACATCTGTCGTGGAAGTGTTCCCACACTTTGATCCATGGTCTTGCTGCTGACTGGTTGCGGGTGTCATCACTGCACTGTACTGTGTCATAAGTAGTGAGCCACGCCATGGTGGACAGTGTTGTGATGATGAGGCGCCATGGCACCGACCACTCCTTCCTGTAGTAAAGGCGAGTAGGCTTGACTTGTGGTGACATGTTGACAATGATGATAACCGGTGTCAAGAAATAACTTCTAGGAGGGAGACTGTTTCTCCTCCACGCTTGCCGTGTGTCATGGACTGTACGGTGCAACCGCCTCGTCTTCATCACCTGGCACATTGTCTAGGGGATCGTGAGCCTTCTTACGCCCACTCCGGTACTCCCGATGAATTATGTAGATGGAGACACAGGCCAATATGACGACGGTAAGAAAATAAAAGCGCGCCTTACCTGTCATGCGTCGGCATGACATCCTAAGCATAAAATGATGCAAGCCAAATGGAGTTGGATGAAGGTCGTCCAGAGAAACTAGGGACTTTTGCTTTTGTGACTGCTTTGAAACAGAAAATATCTGAAGTAGCAGCGTCATACACAATAGCTAAGTGACAAGTGCACCTTTCTAACACATAGTATTCTCCACGCCTACCATGCATGGGCCAGTCAAGTCTACTCCACTCCACTCCAGTTAAAACGCGACACAAGACCCGCCTAGGCGTGTTAATGTCCCAAGAGACATGTGTGGAGCGTAAATGCATGCACGCAAATCCATCGGAGCGGTGACAAAATAAGTCGCTTTCTTCGTGCCAATAGAGTAACTGTAGTGCAGCACAGCACAATGCGGTACTGCACGAAACGATATGGTAGCGTAGGGTTAGGTGGAGTAGGGTAGACGGGGTTCGGTGATGGTACCTTTAAGCAGTCAGTAATGAGACATTCGAACAGAGGGTGCGAAAGCTTCTTAGTTAGAGGCATCGAAGGATGCAGACATAAATGTAGTGGGAGAGTATGCAGAAGACAAATCCACTTTCAACTTGGTAGAATGAGATCTATTTCATGTCTTGCACGAACAAACATCTCTCTTTGACTCTTCATTCATACATTAATGCGAATGCAA